AGGTCGCAGGAGGATTGCTTGAGCCCAGGAGTTTGAGGTTTCTGTGAGCTATGATGATGCCACTGCACTCCAGCCTGGGCAACAGAGTAAGACCCTGTCTCGAGAAAAAAAAAAAAAAGTGATAATTCATTCCCACCAGGAAAGACTGAAAGGAAAAAATGGCAGTTTCAAGAGAGGGTGCTGGGCCAGGCTCAGTGGCTCATGGCTGTAATCCAGCACTTTGGGAGGCTGAGGTGGGAGGACTGCTTAAGCCCAGGACTCAAGGCTGCAGCGAGCTATGATGACGCTGCTGCACCCCAGCCTGAGCAACAGAGCAATATCTTATCTACTAAAAGAAAGAAGGGGGCAGGGGTGCTGCACTGAGAGCAAGCTGCTCCACTTTTGATGTAGAAAAGGAAAGGGGTGGTTTTTTCAGGAGACAAGATGTGGACTCTCTGGGAGAGAGCAGACCTGTGGTCATGTTGAAAGGATTTGCCTCGGACCACCTGCAAGGATAAAGGCTGTCCTTGCATGGGCGTAGACGAATCCAAAGGGAGGATGAGTCATTGTCCCAGGACACCCCACATCCTGGAGCCACAGCCGGAAGAGAGCAAGAACCAGCAGTAGCACGTGTAAAATCCAGAGGGAACCAACACCAGACTGCAGCTGTGGAGCCACTTGCGATCGACCCCCCCTCCTCATCTGTCCTCGGCTCCGCCGCCCTGGAGGGCCAGAGCAGCTGGCCTGCGGCAGGGACGTCACCAGCAGCAGCAGCAGGCTGAGCACAGCCGCTTCCCCCACTGCAGCCTTACAAGCCTGACGCAGAACTGAGCTGCGGAGGATGAGGCTGAAATTAACAGGGAGATTTTACGAGCCTGGACCAGACAAGAATTATGTGATTATTGCACCAAACTGGGATTTAATAATAAAAACAGGAGATTATTGATTTATCTAAAAGTAGCTAAAAACTATGAAACTTGCTTAAAACATGATGCAGGACCAGGGATAGAGATAAGTCCTTGAGCTGTATAACATGCATTTCAAATACATAAAGTTGTTTATGCTTGCCCACCAGCCCATTCAGCGTATAGTGTATGCCAGTTGATATATTAGTGTATGCATCATTGCCGCGCCATGCAGGATGGAAATCCTCTTCCTTGGCCTACTCGTCGGGAAATTAAAAGTTTCTAAGAGTTCTGCCATGTCAGGTATGCTGTGACCTGTTTATCCTGCAATCCCCCCACCTCGTCTACAGCTACCTGCAACCCACCCGCCCTACCGCCACCTGTGCACCACCGGTGAATCATGCCAGCTGGTCCTTTGTGTTCGGGATCACAGAAACTTTTGCATTTTTTTTTGATTCTGCCCTAATCATTTTACATTTCTCCTTCCTCTTGTAAAGCAATCTTCTGATATCCCAAGTAGCAAGTCCTGTGACTACTTCAGAAAGATGGCCAGAAGATCATTAGGGCTGAGTGCTTTGAGATCCCGAAGCAATTACTCCTTAAGTACTACTCCTGCCAAGCGGCGGAGGCACGTGATGGGAAGCAATTTGTCCTTCAGGAGCACCTTGCGAAGACGTGCCCCCGTCAGCGGCAGGAGAGCGAGCAGAGGAAGGGTGGCAGGGTGGGAAGGGGGCCTGCGCCATGTGAAGTGCATACTATTACACCTGGACTTTGGTTTTCGTTTTATATGGTTTTACACCACTGTAAGTTACAGATCAAAACGCTGTCTACAGACAGCCATAAAACCGTCAGTTTTTCCATGCCTCTTTAATTCTAAAACTGCAATATAGGAGTACATCTTGCCTTCTAATTTAAAGATGAACATCTAATGGCACCTAAAAAAGTGTAATACTAGTAATGCAATATGATGATGCCTTACTATATAATGTTAAGTGAGGATAAAGGTACAATAGTAGATCCATAGCCATGTACTGTATATGTAATACAGTACTGAACCTGTGCATTATACAATACTTATATGTGTGATAACCCTCATCCCAGCTTGGGTTCTCAAACATGTCAGGTTAGACACCTCCAACGTGCATGGGCCCTCAAGCCCTCTGTGCATCCATCCGGGCGCTCTGCGAGTTGCTGGGCCTGGAGCAGACGCTGTCATGCCCTTCCGTGTCTGGTCAGGCCTTACAATTGCAGAGTACACTG